TTACAGCCTGCAGGTGCCTATCATTGTACAATGCCCATTTTAACAGGAAAATTTTGCTCCAGAAAATGTAATGTTTATCATGAATCCAATGCAGCTCCTTTACAAACATAAATAGCTCATGCAAGCTCCAGGCTTGTCATATCAGTTTTCTGTTCATAAACTAACAACTGTAGCTATAACTGGTGCCCCATTATGGGGTATAACAGATAAATATTGATATAACTTAGTATTTGCCAAAGCTCCAAAAGTAAATGGGTGATCAGGGGCTTAAAGTGCATTACAGTGTGAAGAGTTTGGCAACTATACCCGCCCAATGGGCACTGTACTGAGCAGTGTTTGCTGTACCAGCAGCATAAAAATGATTCCTTCTGTTTTGAACACAGACATGTCATCAGAAATGGGCTTTACCCATCATGGCGAACATAGAGTCAGGCTTATCTGCTTGGCATGTCTTCAATTCCCTGGGCAAAGAGCTGGATGAGCTGATGGTGTACCCTACAGTAGAAAAGAATGAGACAATGAGACCACCTCTATCTGAAAGGGAATGTATTTTTGTGTATATTTCATGTTCAGGACTAAAAAAAAATAGGTTTCACGCTTCAGATAAATATAAAGCACTGCATTAGATTATTTTTTATTTAAGGTATGCAAAACAATATAACCGCATGGTATAACAGACCATGTAGAACAACCTCTGACAGTATAGATATGTGAATCTCCACCAAACAAAGTAGAGGAAGTCTAATTAGATAATTTTTTAACATTTTCAGCCAGCAGGTGAAGCTGTAGACTCCTTTTCACAGGCTGTTCTGTCTTGCTGTGAAATGCCTTTTCTTTACAGAGCCCAATAGCTAAAGCTCAAATTACATGGTACAGAGAACAGTGCTCATCACATCAGTACTGCTCTCTGCGCCATTACACTGTGAGCACCATGGTGATCTTTACTTGGGAAGCTTGTCAATGATGATTACTTTGATGCGGTTGGCCAGCTTAAACATGTATTGCAATGTATGTGAATGAAAAATCTCTGTTTTTGTGCAGAGTTTGCTAGAAAAGGAGTGTGCAGAGGGTCCAGTCATAATTGTTAGTGTTAACATGTGGCCACACCCCTTTAGCACCTGATTGGTTATGTATGTATAAACTATTTGGATTTGAGTACAGGTATATCTTAATTCAGGGGTGTGGAAATTTTTTTTTAAAAAAACTACTTGTCCAGGGACTAAATCGGGGCCCCAATCTACTTGTCCTTATGACAATCTACTTGTCCAGTTTTTTTTTTTTTTAACCAAAACCATATTTAAACTGAGCTGCTTTTAGGAATGTCTGGGGCTTTTAAAATCAAAAGGGCTTTCTGGCAATTTAAATGTTTAATATTTTTGACATTGCACTGTTTATCTCCTCCTCCCCTCCCTGCCTGTCTCCAGCACCGCCCCCGAGGACTAGCAGGGAGGAGAGATCTTGCAGTGTGATGAGTACCGATTGGGTGTTTGTCAGGAAAGGGGAGTGTCCGGCTTATCCTTTATCCCTTTTGCTGCCAGAACCATTTTTGCATTTTTTGTACAAGTTTAAAAAAATCATTTTAGGCCTGAAGATTACATAAAACCCCCAAACATTATATATTTTCTGAAAGCAGAGACCCTAGAGAATAAAATAGTGGTAGTTCATTTTTTTTTGTGTTGTTTGATATTACCGCAAAATTACAGTTAAAAATACACTTAAGTTAATTTTAGGGCACAAAGAAAAAGCAATAAATTACCCTATTTTTTGTAAAATATAAAATATGAGGTTGCACTGAGTAGATACCCAACACGTCAAACCTAAAATTTGTGCGCGCTCGTGAAATGGCGGCAAACTTCAGTACCCCTTATTTTCTATAGGAAACACTTTTAAAGCCCCTTATAGGTTATCAGTATAATGTATGGAGGAGGTCTGGTGCTAGAATTATTGCCTTCATTCTGGTGTGTGCGTTGATATGTAACATGTATATCGCAGTTGATGTTTTCATGCATCGACGCCCCAGCGTGTACTTTTACGTTTGTAGGTGCATATATGTGGGGTGGGGGGGGCCTCAATTTTTTTTGGGGGGGGGGGGTGTTATGTGCTTGGGTGTAACTTTCATTTCATTACAATTAAAACAAAAAAAAAACTTTTTTTTGTACTTAATTTTTTTTCATCACATAAGGGACAAAGTTCCCTATGTGATGACTTTTGGTGACAGGTTCTCTTTATTGAGTCACCCGAGGTCTAAAAGACCCTGCATGTCTCCCCTGTGCTCCACTGAATGTAATGCAGTGCACATCGCACTGCACTACGTTCTTTCCCGGCCTCTATGGCTGGAAATTTGTCAACAGGGACCTGGAAGTGCCATTATAACGTCACTTCCAGGTCAGGACAAGAAGGGGAGGGGAGCAGACATGTCCGCTGTCCTCCCTGTTCTCTAGCTGATGGCGGTGAACCAGTCTCGGGTCTGCAAATGGCCAAGCGGAGCCCGGGAGACATCACACAGGGGGAGGTTCACATGAGGGGGGAAAGGGGGGCAGAGGCTGGCACTGTGGGCTGTGTGGAAGTAATCGGTGGCAGTGCTGCCGCCCAAATGCATCCACCTGACAGGTGAGCCCTGCTAGGTTAAGAAAAAAACAACCTGCCCGGCACCCGGAAGTACATGTCCCAGGTGGTGGGCAATATAAATTCAAACACTCCATCACGGGTGCAGGCCTACTGCCACAATCACCTTACGAGGCTGATACCCAGGTTAAATGTTGGTACTTACACTGCTTCAATTTAAAAACATATTTAATGATTACAGAGCTGTGGTTATTTGGTCTGCCTGGAGATCAACTTTCAATTGCACTTGTTCACTCTTAGTGCTGCTATTTGCAGATTACAGTAGGCTAAGACAGAATTGGTTACACATACTAGTTCTATATGAAAATAGATATTCTAATGAATGCACAACTTTACTAAATTGTATCTATTTTTTTTTTTTTTAATATGTAGAGTTCCACCTTAAAGGAACATTCAACATAGTTCATGGGATGGTTAAATTATATAGATGTTCTCCGTTTGCAAATAAAGTACATACATACAGTATCACCGTTGGTTATAATAAAAGGAATCTGTCATTTTTTACTCCTTTAATAACTAACCCTTCTCAGGCCAGTTTTTTTTTTTTTTAGAGCCTTTGAAAAGATCTGATACATCTGAATATTGGAGAGCACCAAACCTCCTCTCTCTCCCTCCAACTGCGAAACATTGTCATGTGGTGGAGGGGGCAAGGTCGTTAAAGTGTTAGTTCACCTTTACCAAAAAACTGCATATGCAGGTAAGGGGCTCTGACCAAAGTTAAATAATACGCTTGCTGTAGGTGTAGGCCATTTACACACCTCCCAAAGCCTGACTGAGAAACACCCAGCAATGGCATCATCCAATCCTGCCTTGTTGCTAGGATGTTTCTAAGACACTCCCAGACACTTCAAACCACTTGCATGCACTCTATCACAGTAGTTCAACAATGATGCAAGAGGGCGATCGTGGACCACACATGTGCGGGGGTTTGAGAGCTCACTCCTGTGATAATGGGTGTGTGCGCAGTAACTACTAGGAGTGTCTTAGCAACATCTTAGCAACAAGGATTTTGGAGGTATGTAAAGGGTCTACACTTATAACAAGGGCATTGTTCAACTTTACTTAAAGCTGCACAGTGTGTTTTTACTACTTATTTTGTAATTTCTGACACAGACAGATGTGGAGGTTATACAGAGATTAGGCCCAAGGCTTTAGCAGGCTAACACGGTCGAAGGGGAGCACAATGCAGGTACATATCTGTCCATGAGGATGGGCTTTCAGGTGAACCTGTCACTTTGTGTCTACATAGGCAGCAGACGTATCCTCCTTTTCAAACAAAATCCTGCTTTTCAAAAAGTACAGATTTCATTTTTAATAGGAGAACCTCTCTATGGATAGTTGAACCTATATTTGTCTGCAAATTCCCATTCAACAATAAAAACAACCCCTAGTGGTAGTAAAACAAACTGCATTGTCACTTTTGAGCCAACAGAGAGTATTCCTTTTCAATAACATAAAAAGACTAATGCCAGTGATGGCTACTATTTGCAAACTGTATAAAAGCACACACAGTAAGATTCGTGCCAGTGATGGTTGCTATTCATGTACAGTGTTCCCTCGCCACTTCGCGCTTCTTGTTTTGCGGCTTCAGTGCTTCGCGGGTCAGCAGCCACATTGTGGAAAGGAGCTTTGTTTCATGTTGATGCGCGAGAGAGAAGGATCCCTGCATGTTAACCAAAGAGATGAGTTGACTCAGAGTACTGTACATACCACGGGCTTTCATAAAGGCGCGTGATTGGTTTCCAGTGTGACATCGACCAATAAGAGTACAAGTGGATTTATCCCTGTGAGTTGATTGTCTGCGCATCATTGCAGCCTCACCTAGCATCTTCTCTTGTGTCTCGCCAGTCTTGTCCATGATGTAATTAGTAATTATAATTGTAATTAGCACTGACACGTTTAAGTAAATATGTATACAGTACTGTTGTAATTTTTGTCTTAAATGAGTAAAGTATGAATACTGTTTACATATTTAAAACATTCTTGTACAGTACCCACATACACAAAAATTCCTGGGGGCAAATACTACTTCGCGGTTTTTCAGCTTTCGCGGAAGGTTCTGGTCCCCATTAACAGCGAAAAACGAGGGATCACTGTACTGTATAAAAGCAAAAACAAGTACACGAGAAAATTGTTCTGCTTTACTCTTGCTCAGCACAATCTCTCTTACCTACACAAAAAATGGCAACCATCCCAACCTATAACCAGCCTTAGCAGTAAGGTGCATATGGAAGGGCAATGCACATCACAAACAAAGGATTTCCCAGCAACACTTACCAGCCAGCCTGCAAAAAAACCAATTTGGCCCTGTCACGCTGACAACTGGAGAGGAGAGCTGGTAATCGGCTTTCCATGGAGGGGACATGTACACTGATCATCAGGGCACTGATGATCAGTGTAGCCCCTGCAGTGCCACCTGTCAGTGCTCATCAGTGCCTCGTGCCAGTGCCACATCAATGTCACATATCAGTGCCTACCAGTGCACATCAATGCCACATATCAGTGCCCATCTGAGCTGCCTTTCAGTGTCACCCATTAGTGCCAGTCAGAGCCACCTATCAATGCCAATCAGTGCCACCTATCAGTGCGCATCAGTGCCAGTCAGTGCCTAGAGATAGAGAGAAAAACAGGTGGCGCACACACCTAGTGCATTATCCAAGGTTTATTGTAGGAGTGAAAGAATAATAAAAACATACTCACAGACGAAGCATGTATCTAAAAAGCATAGAAAAATGACAATGGCCACAACGGCAGGCAAGGTGCTCTCACTGTCAGTGCAGTCAAATGGCTGACGCGTTTCGGGGACAAATCCCTTTCCTCAGAGCTGATGACCAGCCTCTGATGCAGATGTATGATGAATGGAAAGTGGGAGCCTTGCTGTTGATGCCTGAGTGGGATATTAAAGCACACTCCCACACCCATCCCACTCAGGCATCAACAGCAAGGCTCCTACTTTCCATTCATCATACATCCGCATCAGAGGCTGGTCATCAGCTCTGAGGAAAGGGATTTGTCCCCGAAACGCGTCAGCCATTTGACCGCACTGACAGTGAGAGCACCTTGCCTGCTGTTGTGGCCATTGTCATTTTTCTATGCTTTTTAGATACATGCTTCGTCTGTGAGTATGTTTTTATACCCTTGGCTTCCCTTTTGGCTGTGCATATCCTGAGGCACTGGAGAGTACATACGATATCCGTGCCAGTCAGTGCCGCCAAACAGTGCCAGTCAGTGCCATTATATAGGGAAGATTTAGAAATGGTAATTGTGCCTAAGCAGTAACTTGAAAATCTACTTTTGGTCTGTAATCCTTTCTGAAAAGTAGCAATATACTTGGTTTGTGATTGTGCCTAGGCATTCCTGCGCTACAGCCTTCTAGCTGTATATTTGCAGTGAAGGATCTAAAGCAATTTGGTTACATTATAACGTGTGTAGTGAACTTTAAGGGGCCTTCCTCCACTGATCACCAATGTAAAGTGGTCCTTTCAATGACCACCAATCTAAAGGGGCCCTTATTCTGTGTCCACCAATCTAAAGGGGTAAATTCTGGGATGTGCACTGATGCCACTTGAGACAGAAGCATACTTGTGCCAGACACTTCTGCCATTATCCTGTGTGGGCATGCTGGTTTGTGTGAGACACTTGCAGACGCAATGCACAAATGTTGGTTCATGCCAGTGCATGTGCATCCATTTCCAGAACTGGTGCAAAATGCCCTATTTAAGGAAGGAATCAGTGACAGAAGATTGCTGGGTGATCTTCAACATGTCCATGTTCTTTGCTCCCCTGTATTCTGAGTTTATCTGATTTCTTGTTACCAATTCCACTCGCCTCTGGACTACCCTCTGCTTGACCTTTGGTTGTGACCCTGGCTCATTTGAGGACTCTGCTTCTCCTGATCAACCATGCATAACTCTGACTTGGCTTCTGACATTTCTGCTCTCTCCATCTGTTTGATCTCTATGTATAAACATTTGCTCTGGCTCCTGACCACACTGTTACTGCTTATCCTGACCACGGCCCGGATCTTGACCTTGATCATGCCTCTCCAGTTTCTCCATACCAGTGTGATCCTGCACCACCTTTATCCTCTACGGGTATCATCACACCGCCTACTGCTAAACCTAACTTACTCCATCACAAGTGTACCTTGTGTTCCTGCTGACATACTCTCCGGCTTGACCGCCTGAGAACTACCCACTTGAACACTTCCTGGAGCAGCCACCATAAAAGAAAATCTGTCAGCACCTGTGCTTCTGTGAGCCTTATACCCCCTGCCATTACTTGCAGGCTGTTTGGACCATAGCTGCAAGGGAATCCCCTAGTCACTTTGGCCTCCAGACATGTAAAGCTGACAGGGGAGAGACCTGTGTGTAAACAACATAGGTTTGTCTCCTGCCAGCAAGGACATGCTGCAGCATGTCTCCATAGTAAAACAGCACACAGTTAACCCTTTGATTGCCAAAAAGTTTCCCCCTTCCTGCCCAGTGTCATTAGTACAGTGTTAGTGCTTTTTATTAGCACTAATCACTATATTAGTGTCACTGGGGATTTCAGTGGCAGTTACTCAGTTCCCACCCAGTGTCAAAATGCCTCCTGCAGTCCCGCTATAAAGTCGCTAATCGCCGCCTTATACTAGTATAAAAAGAATTAAAATTCCAGTATACAGTTGTGGCCAAAATTATTCAACCCCCACTGAAATTGAGTGTTTTGGCCAGTTTGACATTGCTTTTGATCATAGTCATCTTGCTTACATTTACATTAAAGAGGCACTTGTAGGTCAGACAAATATAACATAACAGTTATAATGAAATAACCACAAATGTCTTTTCTGTGCTCACAGCATTATCAGTTTTATTCAACCCCCAAGTGACATTCAATCTTAGTACTTAGTACAGCATCCTTTTACAGTTATATAACAGCTTTTAAACGTGAAGCATAGCTTGACACAAGTGTCTTGCAGCGATCTACGGGTATCTTCGCCCATTCTTCATGGGCAAAGGCCTCCAGTTCAGTCACATTCTTAGGCTTGCGCACTGCAACTGCTTTCTTTAAGTCCCACCAGAGGTTCTCAATCGGGTTTAAGTCTGGTGACTGCGATGGCCACTCCAAAATGTTCCAGCCTTTCCTCTGCAACCATGCTCTAGTGGACTTGGAGGTATGCTTGGGATCATTGTCCTGTTGAAAGGTCCAACGTCTCCCAAGCCTCAGGTGTGTGACGGACTGCATCACGTTTCCATCCAATATCTCCTGGTACTGAAGAGAATTCATGGTACCTTTGCACACGCTGAAGCTTCCCTGTACCTGCAGAAGCAAAAACAGCCCCAAAGCATGATTGACCCTCCACCATGCTTCACAGTAGGCAAGGTGTTCTTTTCATCATAGGCCTTGTTCTTCCTCCTCCAAACATAGCGTTGATCCATGGGCCCAAACAGTTCTAATTTTGTTTCATCAGTCCACAGAACACTATCCCACAACTTTTGTGGTTTGTCCACATGGCTTTTGGCATACTGCAGTCGACTCTTCTTATTCTTTGGAGACAGCAAGGGGGTACGCCTGGGAGTTCTGGCACGGAGGCCTTCATTACGCAGTGTGCGTCTTATTGTCTGGGCTGAAACTTCTGTACCCACATCTGACAAATCTTTTCTCAGTTCCTCAGCAGTCACACGGGGACTTCTCTCCACTCTACGCTTCAGGTAGCGCACAGCAGTCGAAGTCAGCATCTTCTTTCTGCCACGACCAGGTAGCGTTTTCAACAGTGCCCTTTGCCTTGAATTTGCGAATGATGCTTCCTAAGGTGTCTCTTGGTATGTTTAACATCTTTGCAATCTTCTTATAGCCATTGCCCTTCCTGTGAAGAGAAATCACCTCTTCTCTTGTCTTCCTGGACCATTCTCTTGCCTTCACCATGTTTGTAACCACACCAGTAAATGTCTAGAAGGAGCTGAGTATCACAGTCATTTTAAAGCTGCCTAATTGGTGCTTATTATGCTTGATTGCTGCTCGGTGACATCTACAGGTGTTTTCAATACCTGATGGAAAGCACCTGTATGAACCTCTGTTCTTCAGAGTGGTAGTCTTTAAGGGGTTGAATAATTGTGGCAATGAAGAAACCACATAAGAACCATTTACTACTGTATTACATAAACAATTGATGTCATTTTAGTTGCATTTGGGTAGTTACAACGTCCTTGTAGGATTTGATTCTGAATACAATTCCAAATGTACACTATACTAAACCCCTTTACAGCATTGGGGGTTGAATAATTTTGGCCACAACTGTATATACCGCAATTTGTAGATGCTATAACTTTCACTTAAACCAATTAATTTACAGGTATTTGGATTTTTTTTTATTTAGCAAAGACGTAGCAGAATAGATTTTGGCCTAAATTTATGATGAAATTTGATTTTTTTTTTTTTTTATTTATTTTATTGGATATGTTTTATAGCAAAAAGTCAAACATATTGTTTTTTTTTTTTTTCAAAATTGTCGGTCTTTTTTTGTTTATAGTGCAAAAAATAAAAACCACAGAGGCAATGAAATACCACCAAAAAAAGAGCTCTTTGTGAGAAAAAAAGGACATCAATTTAATTTATGTGCAGCTTTGCATGACTGCGCAATTGTTAAAGTAATTCAGCGCTGTATCACAAAAAATGGCCTGGTCAGGAAGGGGGGTAAGTTACTTACAGGATCATTGTATGCCTACCTTACCTCCTCAACAAAGAGCTGTGCTAGAAAAATTGATATTTGCAGACAAATTAACGCAAGCTCTGAAGCAGTTGAAGACCACACAGGTTACCTATGCAATAATATAAAAACTTTGATCACAATCTCTTGCCCTACTTTCTCAGAACTCACCCCTCAGTGCAACTTCTAGAGTTATGCACAATAGACAAAGACCCCACACAGGTGACAATTTACAGACTGATTTTGCTTCTCAATGTCAACTTGAAATTGTTTGCTAAAATACTGTATTAGTGATTCTCCTTCTTCCCTGTACCTTCTCCAGGCTTACTGGATAATGTAGGGTTTTTCCCTGGTAGAAAAGCCCATGATGACACTATTAAATTCCTCAGAATTCACCACTGGTTAACTCTAAACATTAATCCAGATTCCAGTTGGAATTGGATCAGATTCTAGTTATACCAGACCATTTTAGTGGAGCCTGTCACTGTTTGGAATTTGAATCATTTCTGGGCCAGAATCTATACATGGGAACCACCAAAAAAAAATTAACTGAAATCATATTGGTCCATGCCCCCAAGCCACTGCATCGCTATCTATTCTTTATTCATGTGCAGTACATGATATCAACGAATAATGTGATTTTATAATTTCAGTGACAATTCCATGTGCACTCCTCCAAGTGACCCTACATATGTTTGGATCCACAAAACTAGGCAGGTCACCAATTTCTGTTCAAAACATTTTCAGAAAAATTTCTATATTAACAAGTCCTTCATTCAATTCACAGGCAGGCATAATATAAAGCAGCATGTTCCCAGTAAATGTGCCAGGTATGGGGTGAAGTGGTATTAATTGTGTGAGAGAAGCACAGATAAAATTCAGTGGAGGGATGGCAGACACTAAGTGGTTGGT